ATCATCATCATCAGTAGCTCGACAGTCCTCGGTGGACCCTGGCTTTCTCAAGAAGACTGCACCAGTCCTTTCTTCTGCATGCCACGGCTTTCCAGTCTCTGACCTTGATTGTGGCAAAGTCCCTTTGGAGGCAATCCGCCCATCTCAGTCGGGGTCTGCCTCTCTTTCTAGCTCCAGTTGGCCTTGCCAAAAAGATTCTTTTAGTTGTTCTGTCATCATTCATTCTTACAATGTGTCCGGCCCATTTCATGCGCTGAATCTTATGGTACATCAGAATGTCCGGTTCTCTGAATATCCTGTAGAGTTCAGAGTTAGTTCTCCTTCTCCACACTCCCTTGTCACACACACCACCAAAAATGGACCGGAGTATCTTCCTCTCGAAAGCAGCGATGGTCCTCTCATCAGCTTGGGACAAGGTCCAGGTTTCAGATGCGTAAGTGAGAACTGATCTTATTAGGCTTTTATATATTAGCAACTTGGTGTCTCTTTTAATGTTGTCAGATTTAAGGAATTTTCTTATGCCATAAAAGCACTTGTTGGCTGCAGTTACTCTCTTCCTTACTTCTGTGGAAATTGAGTTTTCGGAGTTGATTTCAGAGCCAAGGTAGGTGAAAGAGCTCACCTTTTCAAATTTATACTCTCCAATCTCGATGTGCGTTGAGGTATCGGTATACATTGCATATACTTTGTCTTACTCTGATTAATTGAGGGGTGCATTTTTTTGGCCTCTCTTTCCGGGTCCAGGAATGCCTGCTTTAGGTCTTTAGGGGTTCTTGCTATGATATCAATATCATCAGCATAGGCCATAATTTGAACAGATTTTGAGAAAATAGTTCCTCTAGTGTTAATTCCTGAATCTCTTACTACTTTCTCAAGAGCAAGATTGAAAAGAAGGCATGCTAATGCGTCGCCCTGTCTTATGCCATTTACCCCAGTTGTGTTAAATACAGTCTTCAAATTGATAAGAAAATTAAATAAACTTTCAATGGGGAAGAAGCATTGAGAGAAGTCATTTCAACTTGAGGGGTCTCATAACCTGTGTGGTCTAGATGAAAAGATCAAAAGATGCCGATGTCAGAATTATTTCAGGAGTGCAGTAACATTTTCTTTCCTTTCTTTACAAAGATAAGGCAAGGTGACAGGAGAAAGATTGATTTTTCGGTGGTGAAATAGCTTAACAATATTTTTAGTTATGGATAAGGCAAAAAGTTTTATTTACATGCTTTAAAAATGGTGAAAAGTTGCATTTTTTTAGCTTGCAATTTATTTAGAAAAAGTAGTGTTCAGTTTGCAGAGATGAAAAACAACGTTTCAGGATCAAAATGACCGTCCGCGTCCGGTTAAGGAAGTGTCTGCTTTGCGGAGAATGTACGTAATGGTTTATTCATGGAAGATTCCCGGGGAATTAAAAATATGTCCTTATTGAGAGGTGTCTGTTTTGCAGGAGTGTCCATAACAGGAGGTTTCACTGTATATATATAGAGAGAGGGGAGGATATAACTTCTAACCAAAAGGAAGCTTACAAAAGTACAAAAAAAATATGCGTTTTACTGAGTAATATAAATTTGAATTAAATATTTTAATGAAAGAAAGTTTGTAATATTTAAAAAAAATGAAATAAAATTTTCTACTGCGTTCAGAAGATCCTGCGGGCAGCAGTCAGAAGGGCAGCATGTAGGCGGCAGGGCACAGGTTGTGCCCCCTTAATGTATAGGTTTAGTTTTCTCTATTCACATTTATTATTCTACCAGAAAAAAATATTTAGAAATGAAAGAGGCACCAAGTATAAATTCTAGTTCTTATATTTTTTAAAAAAATATATGCAAGAACTTTTATACATTAATGTTATCGATGATTTCTCGAAACTTTTGAACCTCGGATTTCTGGATCGCGGTTAGAGAAAAATCTAGATTTTTTCTAGATCACAATCATCTCAGAAAAAGGAAAGGTAAGAATACAGCTGCATTTTGTTTGCATTAAAAAAGAGAAGGAACCACTTAAAAGTGTATAATAAATCCGGATCCATAATTTAACAAAAAGATAGTAGCCACATTATTCATCCAATCGTATGGTTTGTCTACAGTGAGAACTCCCCCCGCGACAAAGTCTGAGGTCGCCTGCTGCTATGAAAACAAGAAGCACAGCTACAGAAGAAAAAAAGAGTTCTGCCTCAGTTAATATGATTTTAAATTGATTTTAATATCGAATATTACTTAATAAATCAGATAATTTGAAAAAAAAAAAAGATTATGATAGCTGAAATAAATGTATAATAAGCAACATCCAATAAACTTTGGATAGAACAGTATAATAAGAATAAAATAGTGAGTTTCAGAAATGAATTCGCATCAATTTATTAAATCTTAAAAAGTTGTATAATGCATAAAAAATTATTTTGATGCACCTGTTATACACAATAGACTAAACCATTTTGAGAGCAAATTGCTTCTTGAATGGATGACAAATTTAAAGAAATAGGGTGCATAGCCAAATTATTAAACAAAAAATAAGCACTTTTTAAGCACTCAAATAATATTTTTAAGCACTTTAAAAAAATATCATACTTAGGTAGGGTTGGCATGGTTTTTGACAATTGTTAACATTTTTACATCATGTAAATCGAATGGCGTTTTTATATGCTACGGACTGACGATGCTGGGGTTAAATTAATTGTGAAAACTTTAAATAGATCAATGTGAACAGTTTCTTTCTGCATAATTCGTAGCTAAAATCAACAAGGCACGAAAAATCTCAATTTGGAACAGGGAAAATTATGCACTTTTTAAAAACACCCATTGAAATAAGCACCTTTAAGGGCTTTTAAAAAACGAAAATTAGCACCTTTATGCACTTTCTAAAAAGGCTACGCACCCTGATATAGTAACACTACTTCAGCTAACACTTTGGTAAAAAAAAAAAAGTTCAACTGAACATTTAAAAAAAAAAAAAAGTAGTCATCAGAAGTTTCCGATTCAGGAGTAAATCTAGAGAATAATACGAAGAATGAATACTATGTTTATCCAATATAAAATAAATATTGCAAATAAATGCACACATTTAAAAAGTTATGAGACAACAGCAAGTAAAAAATTACTTCTGTAATTTTAATTGTTCTTCACATAAAAATTTCATAATTTCGGGTGATTGGAGAAGGGCTGCTTTCTTTTCATTTAAAACTTCTTCTAAAATTGAATTCTTGAGGTAATCACAACCAGCATCCACTGAAGAAGAAACTTGCGGATTTAAAAAAGTACTTTCTGGTTTATTAACAGAAGTCTCGCCCAAGTTAGAAGTTGGTGGCAAGGAATCAGTAGTTGTAATATTAGAGGGGATAACCTTTTTCTTCTTACTAGGCTTTAGTTTCGACATAATACAAAAAAAACTAAAACTACAAGAATGTATTTAAATATTCTTTACCTACTCACAAAAGTAATTTCGTACTTTTATAAGAAAAAAGTCGAGGTTAAATTTTAATAAACAAGCAATGGGGCTCTGTATATTCACAGCTCATTGAAAGAGTAGTATTCTAGCTTGTAGCTCACACCGGCAATCGAAACAGCTTACAGTTGACGTCACTAAGCTACAAGCAAGACAACGAAAAGCTCCAATGCGCCTGATGGTTACCCTCCGTCAAACAAAAACGAAACTCGATTATTATTCAACTGTTTTTTACAATTTACGTTTCTAATTTACTTTGATTTCTTCTCGATTGGAATATTTTCGTCAAGGCTTGGACATGGTTATGGACCATTCTACTCATTGTCCTGGCTTATACTGTGGTCGGATTCGCATCAATGGAAGTTGGGGTGATTGTGGTGCTTGTCCTCGAGGATATAGAGCTGCTGCAAATTCTATTTGCCTACCATGCAGAGACGTCCCATCTTTTTATGAATGGCTCTATCTAGGTTTCATGGTTCTATTACTCTTAGCGCTGGAGTGGTACATCATCGATCAGACTATGAAAAGACGCAATTTCACCAAAGATGTGTTATCTCTTCATATTTGTTCTTTTTTTGAAAATGCTCTCTCGGCTTTGGCGACTCTTCTTTTGACGGAGCCGAGGGGGGCATTGGATATTCACGCCTGCAAAGTAAAAAGACTGTCCGACTGGTACACCATGCTTCATAATCCCACCCCGAACTATGTCAAAACTCTGAGGTGTACGCAAGAGGCAGTTTATCCTTTGTATTCAATGGTCTTCATACATTATGCCCTCTCTCTTTTAGCGATGCTTATATTTCGTCCACTTGTGGTGAATCAACTCTCGGGTGGGAAGAAATCAATCTATCTTACGATGTATCTCATACCAGTACTCGTACTCTTGCAAGCAACGTGCGGAGGCTTATTGTATTATTCATTTCCGTACATTATCGTTATTCTCACATTCATCTCGGTCGCCGCGCACTTAGCCTTTCGATTAGACCAATCGATGAAGTCCTTATTTTTAACCTCTATAAAAGATGTCAGGAATTTAGTGATACTCTTAGGACATTGGTTACTTCATGCGTATGGCATTGTTGCGATCACTCAGTTGACGAATCCTGTTTTGCATGGGTCATTGCTCACTTTAGTACCACTTCCTACTTTGTTTTACATTCTCACATCTAAGTTTACAGATCCGAGTAAACTGCATGCAGATTAAGTTATTTAGCAAAATTCAGCCAGGGTGCGTAGCGTTTTTAAAAAGTGCTTAAAGGCACTTATTTTTCATTTTTTAAAAGCCTTTGAAGGTGCTTTTTTCATTGGGTGTTTTTAAAAAGTGCTTAATTTTCTCTTTTTTAAAATGAGATTTTTCCTTTACTATGTTGATTTTCGCTTTGAATTATGCAAAAAGACACAGTTCACATTGTTCTATTCAACGTTTTCACAATTCATTCAACCCTAATCTATTTTGGTGTATTGTCAGTTCGTAGCATATGGAAACACCATTCGTTTTACATGATTCAGAATTTCGTGATTTGTGACAATTGTCAAAAGCAATGCCAAAAGGTTCTTTTTCTTTTCGACATGATGGTTAAAACAAGATAAAACCGTCAATTTTAAAAAACTTTCCGATCCTGCCTAATTGTGATATTTTATAAAGTGCTTAAAAATATTTTTTTAGTGCTTGAAAAGTGCTTAAAAGGTTCTTATTTTTGTTTGAATATGCTACGCACCCTGACGGAGGATATTTCGCATTGTGATCTGTCGCACCAACTACAATTGCCAAATAGATAGTCAAACTTGCAAATTTAAAAAAAAAATGTGAAGATGCTTGTCCGGGGTTGGTTACAATTATACCTTTTCAGTGGGTCCCTTTCTGTGATGTTTTTTTTTTTTTAGTTTCTCGTGGGCCACTGCCCGGAAGTCACCGAGACTTGGCAATTATTCTGCTGCAGATCAGTATACGGAAATCTCCCCAAAATACAGTTAGAAAAAGTGAATATATAGTATGAAAAATTTTATTTCAGTGATTTTTCCTTGCTAACTAGTATCTGTATGTATATATGACTGATACACCTGTTTAAATAAGAGTTTGGGTTTTTAATGTCAACAACTTTTTCTATGGAATGATAAACAAAACTAGGATAATAAACAAAATTATGATGATGTCTGATTTTATTTTATAAAATTAAATTAATTTAGGTAATTTATATTTCTTAATTTAACAATTACTTTACAATTTACTACCATTTAGCGGTTCCTTCACAAATTCAACTTGAAGAAAAACGGAAATACTTGTACAAAATACTTCTTTTAAAAAGGCAAATTTTCCTCCATGCCTTTTAAAACTTTGTGGTACAATTGTCTTTTTTTTATGAGTTAGCAATAGTAAATGATTGCATGTTATAAATTTATGTTTAAATATATATTTCTTTTATTTATTGCTAAAAATATTCGTCTTTATTTAGGACTTATAAATATTTAATTTTTACAATTACTCGGTATTAAGCAAGTACAATATCAAAACTTGTCTGAATATGTTAATGTTAAAAATCTGTTATTTTATTGCAGTATACTGTTGTCTCGATATGCTAAGTGTGCTGAGTACTTGGTAAAATACTAATTAAAATGATATTGTGTCCTACATGTTGTGTTGGTTTTTTTAATTTTCACAAATTGTTTCTAAATTTTCACAAAATAGGTAACCTTATAAAGAAACCTAGACAGAACCCTGATATAGTATGAAAAATTGTATTTAAGTGGTTTATCCTTGCTAACTAGTATCCAGGGTTGGCAAGATTTTTCCACAGGTGGAAAAAACCATGGTAAAAACCGTCCTGGCAAAAACAGGTTTTTGGCAAAAAGTGGCAAAAGCCTATATTTTCCAAGATGAGAGACAAAAACACATTTTTGGTGCAAAATTATTCCTAAAATTGAAATATATACAATAAATATAAATAATTACAAAAAAATTACAAAATATTTACAAAAAATTATTGTTCCATAATTAAATCATAATGTAATAATATATCATTTTAGTAGTTTAAAACATTAGTGATTGGAAAATTTGCGATTATTCTCTTTTTTCCAGTGAAATGAACTTATTTTAAATTAATATAACTATAATTTAAAGCATAAAATATCTATCAAGATGTGTAGTTAATTATTGTACAAATAATAATATTTATTTACTATTTGTAAAAAAACATTTATTTAAGGATTCTAAAATGAAAAGAGGTCAAAAACTTTCAATGTTTATAAATTATTGCTTTTATATTAATTATTAATATGTTAAAAATAATTTTTTCATGTAATGTATCAAAATTATTATTCCTTATGATTGATTTAAATTTGTTTATTTTGTAGTAATATTTAATCAGCAATTTTTTGCCAGTTTTTGCTGGTTTCTGCCACTGTCCTGGCAAAAACCCCTTTTTGCCGGCAAAGACTCCAACCCTGCTAGTATCTGTATGTATATATGCCTGTATGACTTCTACACCTGTTTAAATAAGAGTTGGGAATTTTAATGTCAACAACTGATTAAAATTTTTAGATGGAATGATAAACAAAACTACAATAATAAACAAAATTATGATGATGTCTGATTTTTTTTTATAATATTCAAAAAAATTTTAATTAATTTAGGTAATTTATATTTCTTAATATAACAATAATTAAAAATCATAGTTTTGAACTGAGAAAAATAATGGTTTTCATTTTCCTTTTATTGTTTGATAATACAATTTGAGAACTCTCACTTAATATTTTAATTTTGAAGGGTGAATTACATAAAATCCAATTTATACTATTGTATTAATTTATAACAAGGTACATTGAGTTTTTAAAAAGTGCTTCAAGGTGCTAATTTTCGTTTTTTAATAGCCCTTAAAGGTGCTTTTTTCATTGGGTGTTTTTAAAAAGTGCTTAATTTCCCCTTTTTCAAAATGAGATTTCTCCTTTACCGTGTTGATTTTCGCTACGAATTGTGCAAAAAGATGCGGTTTATATTGTTCTATTCAACGTTTTCACAATTAATTCAACCCCAATCTACTTCCGTGTATTGTCAGTCCATATCGTATGAAAACACCATTTGTTTTACATGATTCAAAATTTCATGATTTTTGACATTTGTCAAAAACAATGCTAAAAGTTTTTTTTTTGACATGACGTTTAAGACAAGATAAAACTGTCAATTGTCAAAAACTGTAAAACCTTGATTAGCAAGGGCGTCGGCAGCGGGGTGCACTTGCACCTCCCTGACTTTTTTTAGAAACAATTATAGAGTATAAAAATTCTTTTACTAAAAATATTTTAATTCCAAAAAAAAAAATGATTAAGTAATTATTGATACGTAACAATTAAAAAAATTATTTAATCAACCAAGAATTGTAATCGTCTTGTTTGCTGTCCAAATCTTTTTTTTTTTTTTTTTTTTCAATGAATTCTGAGTTATCTTTGATTATTTTCTTATGCGCACTGAACATGCACAAACTACTTAATCTCTCGTGAGGCATTGTAGACATATTTTGATGTGTCGCATTGTACTAAAAGTGCGTTCAATAGTGCATGTAGTAGCTGGAAGAGTTAGGCCAATTTTGATTGCCTCCGATACAGCTAGATAAAACGGTGTGGCCTCAATAACTAAATCAATGTATTCGAGGGATTCGTAAAAATTTTCACTATTCCTCCACATTTCGTACCACGTAAATTCGTACTTCTTTTTAAATATCTTGTTAACATGAAGAAATGTATCTTGAAAAATATTAACTGATGAAAGTATATGTAATAACAAAACAAATTTGAATAACAGAATAATCTTAAATTTTTTTTTTGGGGGGAGGTAGTTTGTTAGAGGGTTGCACCCCGTTTTATACAGGATTATTCATAATTCCCTCCGCCTGTAAACGCCATTATTCTTTAATACAACTGGCTTCAGTGGTACATGTTACTGCCAGCTACCTTCAACTGCTTAAATTAAAACTTGAATACTTTCGGAATAATTTCGTATGTTCTTTTTTGCCATATTCGNCCGGTTTTTTGGTTTTCCGGTTTTCTGATTTCCGGATAACGGGTTCTGTACTGTATAACGCTTCGAAAACCTGAAGGGAATTATGAATAACCCTGTATTATTCTGCCGGCGCCCTTGCATCTGTTAGTTTCTTTAATAATCAAAATTCAAAACCTGTTAAGAGATCAAAAAACTGATTTCAATGAAAAATTTTACTTAAAAAATTATATAGTTTAATCACCTTCGCTTGATTCAAGAAAAATATGTCAAAAAGTTCTCAATCCATTTAAAAATGCTGGTCTTAACTGATATATTTAGTGGTTATTTACGGATATGATGATTTAATAATCTCTATTTCGTTCTGTTTCTTTAAGTATAGTTTAGATTACGGTATCTAAGCAAAATAGATATTTTTCTCTCCATAATATTTTGTTGTAACCGTAAACAAAAACGTATAGTAATTGTGTTTAATTTCAGAAAAAAATTCCTTAAAAAAGAATATATTTTGAATGGTAATTTCAGGTGTAAAGAAAAAAAAATAACACCAAAATTTTCAGTGTTTAAATCCTTTATTTTATGAATTATTCAATTTTTAATAAATCGTATACTTAAAATCTGCTTTGTTTTCTGTGCACCGTATATTCATTTTGTTTAGAAGTAAAAAATTTAACATTGAATTAATAATTTATTGCATACATTTTTTTTAAATTTCCGATTTTTTGTCAGTTAAATTACCGAATTCAAAGTTAAATTCATAAAGGTCCTTGGGTCTTAATATTTTAAAATGTTCTAACTTGTTTCTCACTGAAAACCTTTTATAAAAGTTATTTGCATGCGTGTAAAAAGAAACAATTCTTTTAGGGTAGTATAATGCTGTGACGTAGCTACCACTATAAATATTAAATACCAAATCACTAGTATATAAAACATGTTAACTTGAATCCATCTTGAGGTACCTTCTGGTAGATGAAGATAGGCGTAGTCTAAAATTAAATCCCCCACATTGGTGACCCGGACGTGAATTGAGCACGCAGTGACGCCCACTTCGATCTGGTAACGCGTACTTCGATGGATAGTCCACAGAGGTACCTTTTGATTTATAATTCCCCTCAATGCAATCATAATAAAATAGCATAGAGCAGGGATGGCGAACCAGTGGCACGCGTGCCACTTATGGCACGCGACACAATATTTTGGGCACCCCACCAATCACAAAGTTTACTATGAAGCATATTAACAATTCAATTAAAATTCACAAAAAATGAACATTTAATGCCAAAAAAGCAAGCAAACAATAAATAACTAGCAAAAAAAAATTAACAGTTCTGCTTAAACTAGCATCTTATAACCCTAATATAAGTTATTTGTCATCTAATCTGCAACAGAGGTCACACTGATATTAATTTAAGTTGAATTACGCGTATAACTGAGACACTGCAAAAGTTGAGAATTGCATTTTTTCGTAATAAATAAAGAGTTTTGAGTTGATAGTATTTAGTATTATTATTTACCCAATAATCAGGAAGTCAAAATTATTTGTCGGCACGTCTGTGACCTCAATAAAATATATTTTAGAAAAAATGGCACGTTGGTGCATGAAGGTTCGCCAACCCTGGCATAGAGTATAGGACCAATTTATGAACCTTTACTTTTTTTCTACTAAAAAAAGCTTAATATTTCATCTTTTTTTACTCCCCTTAAAAAACCACAAAATATAATAACTACTGATTTATTCGAAGCAAAAGATATTTACTTTGGGTTTTTATTACTGGAATAATGAATATTCCATAGAAACATCCTCAAGTTAAAATAATGTAAGCTTAATTATTCAGCAAAGCTACTGCAATTTGCCTTCGTGGAGGACTTTTTGATGGAACTAACCCGCATTTGCTTTGCATGGAGAGGAAGACCACGAGAACCTCCCACGGTTAGGGGACTCTAACCCATGATCCGTCTACCACTGAAGATATTTAACGTCAGCACTGTAGTCGGTGCAAGCCGGATGCGGAATTCGTATCGACCAGCCATCGCCGGGATCGAACCCCGGTTCACCTCCTTGGAAGGCGAATGCTCCATCCCCTGAGCCATCACGGCTCAAAATAATAATATTTTATTTTATAACCGTCGTTGAACAGCCGACCCAATTTCATGGGTTTACGACTACTTACGTTCAACTCCGTAGCCTTGTAATTTTGAACCAATCCAGAAGACAAGGAAACTCCTGGATCAGTACCCCCAGAGGTATTGATTTGTTGTGGGAACATGGAGGACTTTGAGACTCGACAGATTTAACGTGCATCAGTCACCATTTACTACACGGGGAGTCTTCGGCCGGCGAGGATCGAACCCACGACCTCTTGGATATGGGCCCAGCGCCCTACCGACCAGGCTATCCCGGCCCCAAATGATAATATTTGATTAATTTGTAATTATTTATTATAATAGTATCTAACACTAACCAGATAATCAGGTTGGTCAATACTTACGCAAACCAAGAAACGGCCATAGAAACGAAAAAAATGTGCATTTTTTTTTTTTTATGGAAACTCTTTTTACTCCATCTACTGCATGGAATTAACAATTAAAATTCCAAAATATTGAGCTAAAGGTTGAGTTCGAAAGGTTGAGTTAAACTG